TATGTGTATAGTCTTATCGATCGACAATATGATCGATTAACATCGGCAAAATAGACAAATAGACTTGGAACCATGTTGGGAAATTATATTATTATGTATATAACACATTAAAAACATCTTATTTAATAATCTCATATTTAAACAATCATTAATAATGTTTTAAATTACTATTATTAGTCCCATTTCAGAGAAAATTACCCAAATGTGGTCCAAGCCGACTCATGCGATATTAGTTTTATTTAGTTATTTTTGTTTAAATCGACATAAAGCGGCGATATATATTTCGCTTCTCGGCAATTTTATTATTTTATTTTTATACTTTAAAACATCGAGGTCAACAGTACATTGCGCGAGGGATAAAGAATTCTTTTCCCTCAACATTTTTGAAAGTTCGTAAATAATCCGGTAATATACTTACGAAAGCAAAAGAAAAGAAAAACGAAACATAAATCCTATCACAATAAAAAAATTGCTTTCCATTGTTAAAATTTTCATAGCATATCAAAAAAATCAAACGTTCGTTTGCCATTTATAAGTTCATAAAAAATATCTCTTACAAAACATACTCTCTCTCTCTCTTTCTGGAAAAACATATCGATGCAATACCCGTCGTTTTCCACCATCATGTATACTATGTTTATATTTTTTGTTTTTCTTTCCTTTGCATCAATCATTTTATTATCATTTGAGTTTTATCATTCGAACTTTCTCAATTACTATATTTTCTTATCTTAGTTTCTCTCATTTTTTATTACTTTTATTTCAATATAATGAATATGTCTGTTTTGGATAAAACTCGTAAATGGTAAACATACTGAACAGATCAAAGTGTTGAGTTTTGGTGATTTTAGTGTAGTTGTGAAACATAAAACTGCAATACCAATATTCATTAAAAATTAAATGACGCTAATTAGCCAAATATGAATAACGTTAGAGGGCAGAAAAATTCTCGACATCAGACACAAATAGACTATAAAAATTTAATAATAAATTTATACATAAGTCATTAAATTTATTAACAACATTGTTCACACTAACATTAATGTTAAATAGAAAATTGTACGTGTTTTACAGGTAAAGAATTATTGGACATTAAAGATTTATCAAACGAAATAATGTACAGAGATATTTTTAACACATGCTTTGCAATGATGTTAAAGCATTCTATTCTTCCTCAAAAATTTTAATTGTGTATTACTACGTCAACGAAATAATTGTCATTATGACTGATAAAAGTTAAATGATCTGAAGAATTATTGTCAATTTATTATATATGGAATTATTAAACTTAAAGGCTTTCCTATTACATTTTGAAATAATATACATGAAAAATTACGAGTTATGAATATGACAGACATTTTCCAATTAAAAAATTTTAATTTTAAACCAAATATCTATTTTCAAAAATCAACAAATAACTGAAAAATGAATTATTTTCAAAACATTTCCGATAAATAAATAAAGTGAAAGCAAATGATAATTAAAGTATAACGTAAATGCCAATAATACTATTCATAATATGAAATCGTGTTTGAAATATAAATTGCTACTTTGAATGCATCACTTGAAATTACTAAATATGAAACAGCATTATATTATAAGAAAAAACTAAATTAGAGAATACTTTTAAAGAAAATAAAAATAATACATCACTAAAAACGAATGCGATTGTAAGTAAAGCAGCGACTAGCACAAGAAAGAGACAGAGTATTTCGACAGTGTTAAATAATTAGAAACCTACGTAACACGAAGCAGTATGAAAAAAAAATAAAAATACGTTTGTATGCAAAGCTTCCTTCACCTACTCTTACTGCTTTATTTTTTTCATGCCGTTAATTAAGTCCTATTAAGAAATTTTCTGCCCTTGCAATCCAACGAGCATCTTCTATATTTTTCTATATACGTATATAACATGTATACAGTACGTTTGCGCTTGACGCACCTCAATTATACAAGTAATCCAATACATTTTTACTGTTCATGAGATCAAGTGCGCGCCGCATATCATTATCATATCTTAACGACTGGACAAAATCTCCATGAAAACCAGAAGGCCGCAGAGAGAAACACACATATAGACGCACATTATTATCATATCGGATTACACATAAGACAGCAGGGAATTCCTGCGCTCATTCTTTTTAAATGAGTACCAATTGCCGCGCATCATGGACAATTTTACAATTCAGGGGACCTCGCCTTCGCTCTAAGCCCTCAAACTTATTGACCGATCTATAAGCGTGAGTTTTCATATGAGGAACCACTGAATGAAAATAGAAAACCATGTCGAACGACAATCTAACCCGTTACTTCAACTTTTGCCCCGCGATGATCTGGTGAATTTATCAAAATGATGATATGAATGAATTTGAAAATATATTACTCTTGTTTACACACTATTATTCATAGCAATTATTCTTAATTGAGTAATCGTGTACAACATAAATTTTACTCAGAGATATCGATAGTGTAAAAATATTGTGCAACAGAATCAGAATTATTATTAATATAATAATAATATAATTATTATTAATAAAAATAAATGTAAATAAAATAACATACTAATAATTATAATGAAAATAATGATAAGTATAATAATGATTGATGAAAATTATGAAAATAGTGATAAAGATTCTAATGATATTGATGATTATCATAATAGAATATTACAATAATTAAAGTAATATTAATAAAAGAACGAGATAAAAACCAGAACATCGGGGACTATAAGAAGAAAGTCGGTTCGAATTGGATTAACATTATTAAATTAATATTTTGGATTAATGATATTAATATTGATTGTTCTATATTATCAAGTAAAATTAAAATGCAGTTTTTATTGAAATATCATTATCCAAAATGTAAACATAAATAGAAATCAAATTCAAATCGACTTTTCGTAATGATCGACTCCCTCACATTTTGGATGGTGATTCGCATCGCTAAACGACCATTGCTATTTACTTTTGTATTTTTGCTGTGAATTTTTTTAAATATACACGATACAAACAATCAGGTAAAAAGTAGGATATTATAGCTGTCGTATCGAACTACAATTTAACATTCACATATTTTTCCTTCTTGTTTTAAGAAAAATTAAAAGGGTGTTTGTTTCCTTTTTATAGATTTTCAGGTGATAACCTACATGTCAGCATGATACATACATGCTTGCATACATACATACATACATTCATACATACATACATACATACATACATACATATGTATGTGTACGTGAATATATATATATATATATATATATATATATATATATATATATATATATATATATATATTTATTTATTTATTTATTTATTTAATGAACTCGGGGTGACCTCAAATCAAGAAAAGAAATAATGTGGGTTTCCCTTGGCCACTGTAACCGTCATCCTTTAACCGTTTTATAATACTTTTCTCAAACATTATACAAGTTCAATTTATTCTCCTGCCATATTATTTAAATCTTTTGTAACCGTTTTATAATATTTTCTCTTCCTTCTTAAGAAACCACGTAGACGTCGCTCTACATAAGGGACAGACCCGGTACTCGCCCGGCCGAACGTTACTTCGCCCATGTCTCCTCCAACTGTTCTCCGATCACAATATTTTTGTTTCATTATTACAACCCCTATTTCTGATTAATTTTTTAAATCATCATCTTATATAACTTCTTAAATGCATAAAACTGTGCGTTCTCCCATCTTATATAATGAACGAACAATCCATCCTTTATCCGTTGCGCACGTGCTATCGATCTTCGTTACGCATTGGATATTCGTAAATCACAGATAATTATTTCTAAAAAACTTCTCCACGTATCTCTAATATAATCTTCTTCTTACCCTGGCACGGAAGCACTTACATTCTACATATAAAAAATTCGCCTCTCTTCATTCGCGACTTTCTCTCTTCATCTTGTGTCATAGTATTACCTTTCGTATCTACTCCTTTTTCTCATATTTTCTCACTTTCATCGCAACTTTCCCCGTCACCTGAGAAATAATAATTAATATTTCGTTGTATTTCCCGGAGAAAGTCCTGATTTATTTTGTTTTATTTCTGTATACACGTATGCTCATGTTGCGCGCAAGCATATCGTCGTTTTAATAAAAAGTGGTGAGTCAAAAGAAAAAATTTCTTCCATAAAAACGAAAGCAATCTTTCTCTTCCATTCTTTAGATTTATTTTAGTTTGCATCATAGCATACGTGTACCGCAGTCTCTCACGGTAGTTTCCCGCATGTACCCGACGAGCAATTCATATATTTTTATCTATGAACTTTTTTTTCCCCATACTCATTTTCATTGGATAATGTATATTACTCAAATACGTACATCCAAAATAGATTTTCGGAGAAGAAAACGACGGCTCATATATCGTCCTCATTACGTCCCCCCTTCCTTCATGAGCTTGAAGTTTCTTTCACTTGCATTTCAAACGATTATCAATGACGGTAAAAGCCCATAAACCTTCATTTCACAGCTGGTCTATACCCCTCAATGCTTGTCGAATTTACGCAATCAAATCTTAAGCTTAGCTACTATATCGACTCAACTCTTGACTTACCAATTACAGAATCGTGAATTTCAATTCTTATTTCATTTCCTTTTGTTACTCCAATTAATCTTTCAAAATTAATTGACCAGCCTTATAGACGTAAAGCAAGAAAGAAATCGTAAATAAAATTAACCGCAAATATACCATCCCTTAATGCTAAATAAAAGATGTGTACACAGGTAGTCAAAACATTACGGAACAAAGAACTATTTGCGTTCGTTGTAGACCGAAGAAACAACAGACTCCCGTACAATGATAATAACGTCCTAAACCAGCATATCTATATTCAACACTACATATACTTATGGATATTAAGAGGCAGAACCCGGGGTTAACAATATCGCTAGCAGCTCAATTGTGAGAACGGTGCAATTAACTTTGTAGTCAGCCTCGGGCCTGGATAAGAACACGCACGCACATAGGTGGGGCTAGAGCATTTTGTTAAATTCCAGAGCTATACACTCCTTGAGCCCGCATAGTCTACTGACGATGTGAGTGAGAAAGATGGTCAAATGATGGGGCGAAACTCTCTCATCCTCGCCTTATGACTGCTGGGTGGAGTTCGTAGCGAAGAGCTGCTGGGCTGCGTGAAAATGATGTTGTTGCTGAAGTAGATGGGCCGAGGCAGCGCTCGACTGCTGGAGCTGGAGTTGCCGCTGTGCTTGAAGCTTGGCAAACGAATGGCTTGGCGCAAACGCCGGATAGGCAAGGGTCGTCGTCAGACATTCGTTGTGTTCCTCAAGAGAGTTCTGGGCGTAGTGGAGCACTAAGTGGCATAATGACTCATGGATATTGTACGGTTCGGCAAAGCCAAAACCTCGCTCCGTCGCATAAATTATGCAGTGGTTCACCGTCCCGTTACACCTGCGTAATAAAAGTTAGAATTAACAATTTGCTTTCCTTTTAACATTTTTGTATGTCAATAATTGAATATTCCTTAACCATCTTATACAAATGAAATTAAAAATACATTGTAAACATAAAAGATATAACTAATGATAGATATTATTGTTACAATTTCATGTATTTTTACATCAAAATGTTTTGAAATATCAATATAGTGTTTGAAAAAACAGAACAGAAGCTTTTACATTGTCAGTACCATTTAATACTTACTTGACTTTTCCAAGTTTATATTGAAAATATTCAGACATAATTACATATGAAACTAGAACAAGTAAATGAATTCAGGATTCTTCATACTTCAAAATCTGAGAGATGTAAGGGAACAAATAAATAGATGAATATGTATACAGAGAGAGAGAGAGAGAGAGAGAGAGAGAGAGAGCGAGCGACAAAGTAATTATGTAAATTGTGAAGAAAACTCGTATAACTTTTACGTAATTAAAAGTTTGACGTTTTGCTAAGGTGTAATTAATACATGCATTTATAATATATTCTTATATCAGCACACATATAATCTTAAAACATGGTTTCCAATTTCAATATCGAAGTAGAGTGAAGAATACAAAGCTTTATGCACACAGACACACGCACGAATAAATAAACAACCAAAATTGTTCTGTTGAAGCTACCCGTTTCAAATATTCTTACCACTCATAAGTGACAAAAAGTAGCACACTGTCAAGCAGAAGACACTGATAGATATTTGTTTTTATTTTATATTGTTCTAAAATAAATAACAATTAAAAATTAAACAATACTCACATGATTGACAAAGCGTACTGTCCTATCCTCGACCTTCGAATCAAGAAAGTGCCATCGGGTCGCGACGTAAGAATCCTATCTGCATCGGAACGTGAACCCTCAAGGTATAGCCATGTCTTCTCGTCATTGTGTACTTCAAGATCGAGCTCCTGGAGTTCAATATTAACATCACGATTCTGACTTGCCAAAAGACTCTGCGATAGCTGATAAATTTTTGCTTGATTCATTCCATTCTTTTTCAACCACCTGCAAACAATAAAATCTATATTTATATCGCTGTTTATTTTCCGATTTATTTTCCGTTATAAATGTCGCTTATCGTTCATATTAATTGCTAAAAAATAAAGGTATCAATTACAAAAAAATTTTTTTTTTTTATAGCATTGGATATGGAAAAAATATTCAATTATTATATCTTTGTAACAATGATAGTTATAGTTACATTATCTTTCAACTTCTCGATATAATTTTGCCACATTATCTAGTTTAAATAACAATGAAAAGTTAATAAAGAGGATTTCCATCGTAGAAGAAATAGATTATAAATACTATTAAACACCAAATAAGATAATAATAAGTAGGTTGGTAATTTAAATAAAAATATAGTTACCATTATGATAATACATTTTGAAATTTAATTATGAATATTATTTCCTACTAAATGTATATTAGTTTCGTAATATACTACTCTGTATTAATATTCAATTGTATTTGATAGCCATTGAAAATAAACAAGAGTCCTGTAAATTTAAACTTATCAAACATAAAATAATATAAAAATTTCTTACGCTATGTGTTTCTCCTTTGTGCGAACGAGCTGGAATATCTCGACCTTCAATTTATTCATGTCTCTCTCTAGGCTTCTGTTATGTGCAATTTCTTTCTTCAGATTATCGTCAACCTGATCCCTACTATCTTCCAAGGATTTCAGTCGGCGTTTCAGAAGCTCCGAATTATCGGATAAACTGAAATTAACTCATCGTTTGTTATAAAATTGTAACATTCTTACTTACTTAGTAAAACGTACGTTGCTATTAATCAAAGTAATTTAATAACCCCTTGGTTATATTTATACTAAAATTCGTTCGACAAATATTGTAAAATATTTATACATTATAAATAAAACTCATAAAATAATCCTAATGAAAACAGTTGATATTTTTTATTAAAATGAAGTGTAAGCATGAAAAATTGTAAAAAAAAAAGAAGAGAAGTTGCATTATTCCGACTATTCATCCATATACACGATCAATCGTGCGCAAAAAAGATTGCTCCAGGCGACGTGATTCCAAGAAATTCGATTTTACTAGCATTACAAATGCGCTCACTTTGCAATTTCGTGTGGTTGAGCCTCCTTTTGGGATTTCTCTTGGAGCTTTATTTGGTCCTCGAACATCTTAATTGCCTCAGAGAAAGCCTCAAGGGCCTGGCGCTTCAATTGCACTTCATAAGTCGTACTGCTGTAAATATCCGAGCACTCCTGGTACTGCTTCATCGTGTCTGTCACATCCTTATCCAGTTCGATATATTTTTGTATCACCTTAGCCATGTCCGTTGTACTCGCGATCTCGTCATCCTAATACAAAGGTAACATAATGCAAAGACGACCAGTCAAGGTATGAATAAATTTTTCTTTTAAACACGCTTGACAATGATTTCATAATTTATTTTAAATATTAACGCGTATTATAGTAAATTCATTAAAACTAATATTTAATTAAATATCAACTAAATGAATTTCTATTGTTAATTCGATATGAAAATGTAATTACTAAAATTCCTTACAATATTTCTAATGAACAATTAAAACAAAACGCATGGAGAAGTTTTCTTGAACGATATAATAATGAAATAAACATAATTTTTCAAATTGATACCATCATACCTGCTGGAAGCGTGAGACAGGATAGAGTAATTTGATATCCAAAGTCGCATTGTATTGTGCGAGAGAGCAATTCCTATAATGATCGACAAGATCGATGACAGAATTAAAGTTGTAAGGCTCAGAGAATCCGTATTTGCCGTTCCTGTGGCAAATTTTGATGAGTTTATTAGTGCCACCTTTGCGCAGTGTGAGAGTGTATTCGCCGCCTTTGGATGAGGCGTTGCGCACGAGAAAGGTACCATCCGGCGTATCTATCATCTTTTCATTCACCTCGTCTCGAGTAATGTCACCCCAGTACCATTCGGCTTCTGGGAGACTTCGAGGTCTCAGCGACTGTGACTGATCCTTGTTACTGAAAGAATACGAATAAATAAATGACATTACCAACGACAATTTTACAAGTTCGCTTTTAATTCTTATTACTTCTACATTGGAAAGTGTGCGCCGATATAGCACTTCAAGTATTAGTATGATTTATATGAGCCAAGAAAATTCTTTCGAAAAACTGAGAGCAAAATTCCTTTTTAATATGGTTGAAGGTTCGTTCTGAGTAATGATTGGCCATGTCTATCTAGGATGTGCAAAAAAATAGTTTTTAAGAATTACGTGATGTTTAAGCAACTTGAATACATTCACAGGAAATCATGGTAAATTTCATATTTTACTCATTATAAAATCGTATTTTGTATTATTTCTTTATTGCTATTGTATGTTACTTGCAAATGTTTGTTGCTTGTTATACTATGTAAAGATATTCGAATTTTGCAATAGTAAATACTTTAAAAATAAAAATTTCCGTGTATCGAAATTTTCTAAGTATTTCTTATATGTATAAGTTTAAAATAATATTAAAATATTAAAATTATATTATTCAGCTACACTTGAATAGGAGAAAAATTTACAATTCAGAATTCAGTAACTTGTTTGAGGTAAGCAATAATGTTTCGGATAAATATCATCACTTAAGTATCGCCCATCACCTTCCATTATCCCACTGACACATAATTACATTTTCCAATATAGTATAAGTGCATCTATCTTGGAGTTCCTACATTTGTTTATAAAATACGTTCCTTCAGGAGAATTTCATCATAATAATAACTCGATAAGCATCAACTAGTTAACGGTCTCATTGTTACCCTTTCTTCTAACGTCACTTCTAATAATGCAAAAAGAAGCAAGAAAGATACGAGGGGGCGGGAGTGAGGAAGGTAGGCGCATCAATTACCTGTGGCATTCCATCATTTGTCGCTCACGATTGACCTCATCTTCGAGACTGGCGTACGTTGGGTCGATGACGGGGAACTGAGGCCTGGAGACCTTCCGAGGCGGTAAAAGAGGCGCGCTTGCAAACTCCGGTAATCGCTCGCCCCAATCACAGTGCAGCAACAGCAGCTCCATTATACGTATGTGTGCCTCAATATTGTACACCACTTGTCTGCAATTGATAAGTTAGTTGAAGAAGGGGAAGATGACTTTAATAGGAGTATAGCAGCTTCGAGCTTGTTTATTTCTGATTTATCTAATTACTTTCTAAGAGACGTGATATTTTGATACGTGCACCGGCATCTTCTTTCATTGAATTGAATTTTTTTTCTTTACAGAAACGTAATAGTTCTATAATATTTCAATAAATTGCAATATGCTATTAGTATCTAAATTATCATGAATAGTAGGTATGTCAACGTAATGTTTGGTTCGGTAACGACGACGACAACGACGATGGTAATTGATTATAATAATTAAATAAATAACGTTTACTGTAACATTTATTGAAATTATAAAACTTGTAATACGAAGCACCGCAATGACATTTTAGTAAAAAACTATATGGAGCCATTAAGTTTGCAACAAATCAACAGTTAGTTTCACATTTCCCTTACATTGACAAGCACGCTAAATGATAAACTGAAGCAAAGATTATACATAAAAATATGTTCACTCACATGATATGCTCCCAGGGCGGCCTCAGAAAAAGGTGGCAGAGCACCTGGACGAGTACCGTTGGAGGCTCTGTGTAACCACGTGCATGTTGTAGCCTACAAATGCGACAAAAATGGGCCATAAGGTGCTTTAAAGTACTGTGATGATGCTGCGGTAGTTCTGCGACCATCTGGGCAAGTCGCTTCGCACACTGCTCGTCACCCGTACCTGAGAAAAATATCACATTGTTATTGAAATCTAGCTAAGTTTTAATATATGACTGTTAACAGTACATCTGGCTAATCCTTGGATCGAGAATTTAATTTTGATACAAATATAAAGAGTTTGGCCATGATCAAATTACATTGTTATTATCAGCCGAATGGATGTATTAGATAAATACTTACTAGAGGCCTCCAAAAATCTATCGTACCACTGTACAGGGATAACGGGATCAGGTAATTCCCTCAAAAATTTCTTCAGCACACTGGCTATACATTGTGGAGTGTAAAGATTCAGATCGACGCTTCGAACGTCTACAAGAAAATTAAAAACAAATGTTCTATTGACATGTGGCAAATCTTTAATACCAATTTTATATATTTTTTTATATAAAAATTTTAAATAAAAATAATTCTAATTAAAATATAAAAAATAAAATATATATTAAAATTTTAAAAATTTTTGTACTACCTATAGTACTAATATATAAGATAATATAATACTAATATATAAGATAATTAAAAATCCATTTCTGAATAAAAATATTCTGAATAAATAATCTGAATAAAAAATTTATACGAAAAGACATTTAGAACTTGAATCGATAATGGTTAGTGAGTGTTTTCGTAAAAATTTTGTCAATTTGACTCACCTTCATTAAGTCCTTGTCTAAGCTGGAGTGTCTGCTCGTTGGGTGGACTGCTATGATAGACCTTATATAGGTCAAGGGTGGCGTCGGTTGCCGCCCTGTCCTCCAGAGCCTGCGTGCACCTCTCCACCAAGAGAGGGGCGTTGCGACTGGTAGCATCAAACTGGGAACACAGTGCCAGACCGAACACTACCAAGATAACAATTCAAAAGTTATGAGTTAGTAACGAAAGATACTATTTTTCGCTCGACAAATGAGTTAATAAGTGACTGTGTACGCGTTAGTAGGCGAGTGGCGATTGCGAGGACTAGATGTGACCGAACACATTAGGAATTAAATCTTCTTCGGTGGAGACCGTTGCAGTCTATTAAATTATCTTGATTTTAAAAGTAATGTCTTGACGTTTTATCAGTTCTTTAGAGGAACGATATTCCCAATAACGCCAATTTGCAATGATAACAATGAGTTTTAAATATTAATGTAAGAATACGTTATGACTAAAACAAATATAAAAAAGACTGCAGTCAAAATAATTCCCTTTTACTGCAATTTTTAAAAGAGATCTCTTTCTAAGTACAATACCGTTCAGACGATATTTAAATTCTTTAAATATCGAGTGGTAAAAAAAGCTGCCTTCGAAACTTATTAATAAAAACTCTAATCGACTTAAAAGTTTTTAAAAAATATACATAAATGTCAATATGTTGTAAAATTTCTTTTGTAAAACTTCTGCTGTAAAACGTCACAACGTATTTTACCTAAAAAACATCCTTATTTTCTATACATTTTATAATATTCTTTATTTTATTATTTTTTAAATCATTTAAATAAGAGAATTACACTTAATTATACCGTAATATTAAATACTAGAAAATTTTGACATAAAAATGTTTTAATATATATATATACAAGCACACCTGTGTTTAAAACATGTGTTTAAACAAATACATTTATTTTGAAATAGTGAATTTCAGTTTTTAATATGGATGTAAGATTATAGCTCGTATAAGAGTATGCATGCATGTGTGTATATACATTAAACAATTTTAAACAACCATAATAATGTATTTTTTAAATGAAAAGGTAAATTTTCTACAATTGTGTTTTCATGATTATCTGATAAAATCACAATAAATATTCTTTTCTATAAATTTTTGTCTATAGTATTAAAATATTATAAATAATCTTATAACTTGGCTCGAAACGTTAGCCTTTTGATAGAGTTGTACAAAAACATCTTTCGTTCACGTGGCATAAAATGCAAGGGCAGATGAGAATTTATCATAATTTCAATAAACTTCTGATGGAAAAATATCATAAAAGGTCATTGCATTTCTTGGCATTTAATGAATTATAAAAATAATACGATAATAGTAAAAGAAAAAAAGATTATAGCTCGTATTTTACTTATCTAATTAAGCTAAATTAATGATAAAAAAAACGTTCGTTTCAAAATCTTGGTTGTTACCCATATAACAGCCTTCATGTTTAATATTGTAAATAAAAATATAGCATTTAAATACAATAATTTTATTATTTCGAACTCAGACCCAAACATTCTAAACTTCTTTCGAACACATTCTATTGTCAATAATTTGATATTAAAATACAAGTGCATCAAGTAGCGAATAGCAGTACTGGAAATTGTATTTACAAATGAAATTAAAAGAGAAAAAAAATTTTTTTTTAATAAAAGAATTTAAAAGAAGGCAATTTATAAACTACTCACCGGAAGTAAATTTATTGACTCGTAAGTCCGAAGGCGAACATGGCATCGGCAGACCTGTCGCCGAGCAAGTCCTGTGAGCAACCAAACCGCAATCTAAAATAAAGAGAAACGTGAAATGAGCATGAAAGCACTGAAGCGCAGTTAGTTTAAATCACATAACGCTCGCGAAACTAAACTCCGTCATTATTTGTTTTATATGAAGCATGTAAAATTGCTGCTCAATTTTCTCTTGTGCCAAGAGGTTGTTTTTTTATAATTAAAGCTGGAACATTGAGGATCTTTTATTTCATATTATTATACAAATGCCCTTATATACAGACACTTATTAATAAAATTAATAAATATCAAATATATGAAATAAAACATTTTTCATAGTTTCATATTACTTAATAATTATGATGTACGAAAGATTTCATATTTAATTAACTTAATGCATAACGATTTATCGCTTCGAAAAGATAGCTTTGAGTTATTAAATTATAACAATAAGCTACTCGATGAACAAATTCAAATAATAAGTGAGAAAATATTTGTAAAGTGATTTTCCTATAGAAAATGTATTTATGATTAAAATGAGAATTAATCATAAATAATTGATTCAGTATTTAAATTAATTTTAAATAATATTAAACACAAAAACAAAAAACATATTGAAAATATTATGAAAGTAATTCCTATTATTTAATTATAATATATATTTAGAACTAATTATTTTACTTCAAGAGATTCCTATTAATAATAAAATGTTGAAAATATATTTATAAATATTAATTTAATAAATCATTCATGTGCAAATTTTCGGATACTTTTTGCAGTTTCAATTATTTTATATAGAAAGCCTTACATTGTAGTACACAAAATTTAATAGAAATACTTATGTCTTTAAAAAATTGGCTCCGGTCAAAAAATTATTAGATTTTGAAATAAAGAACATAAATGATCGTACATTTATATAAATTTTATGTTAAAAACCTTACAATGTTGATTATTAAATTTTTCTTTAATTAAAACTAAATTGATTGAAATTTCTATTATATTCCACGAATGAAAGAGTGAAGACTACGAGATGATAAAATTCAATATGCAGAAAATGAATTATATAAAAAGAAATTATAAATTGAAATAGAATAACTTCATAAATTAATATGCTTTAGAAAGCCCTGACAATATATTGAAATGGCGTATCAATATTTATGTTATTAAAATCTGTTTATTTAATTAAACAATTAATAATGTATACTTTTAGAATATTTTTGTTTTTTGAATTATAGAACAATTATTCATCAATAAGGTGATAATAAAGGACACAAAATTGAATAAATTCAAATTTTAATTTAGATTAATTGTTTTGCATAAATTCTGATGACTAATTGAAGCGTTTGAATAGAACTGAATTTAAAATTTCTTCATCCATTTTGTTTCTATTTCAGCACTATTTAAATACACATTACAAAGAATTAAATATAAAATATAAATAATACAGCTATAGTTTTAATTTGTCATTATATAACTGAAATGTAGTAATATTCATATTTCGTGTTTATGATCATAATAACGAAGGAGAAAGTTACTGAAATTCTTGATAAATTGGTTCAAATTTATCAAACAAAATATATAATAAGGGTAATAAACACTTATAGCAAATTCAAAAGCAAAAATATATCCGTTAAAATATGATATTAATCCTTATGAAAGATAATCGATTATTTATCCATATAACACACATTTTATATAAAATTTTATACGATTTTATACTACTATTAGCTATGTACATAGAATAATGAAATAATGTAAAAACGAGTATTCCAAAACACATTGTATTTTTAAAAATATGATCACAAAGCCTATACGAAAATTCTACAACCAAGCGATGAAAACGCAATTTGCGCAAAATTTATATGTTAATAATGATAACGCGATCTATTTTTAATTCTTTGCGTTAAGTATCATTTTTTTTACTTCTTTAATCTGAGTCGATTTCAAATTGTAAGTTATTAATCGGGGTGATTTTCAATTAATAGATGTGTACAGGCCATTAATGTAATTTTACTTTTGCTTTTAGCCGTGAAGTATATTAAAGATATAATTCTAAAATGATTTTGCAGTTGAATTTCATTGAATAGATTGTTAGTTCAAATAGACAATTCGAAAATAGTTATCTCTTAAGCAAAAGTTAGCACAAATTAGTTTTTAATATTATTATGAAATGACGTCTATTGAAGATATCAAAGCAATATTTGAAGTATTACTTATTTTTATTTTATCCAAATATTAGTGTAATAAAATCATTGTTGAATTGTATATTTATGTAAACCTGAAATTATAAAATAGTATCAAATTCGAGAAGTGCAAATACGTAATAAAATGCGCGGGAAATTATCGTATATTTTCTATTAATACACATAAAATATCGTTTTTTCGAACAATATGTATTTGTGCGTAAGCTAAAATTTTTCCAAAAACTTCAATCGCATGGAAAACTTATAATAATATAATTTAAAAAACATTTAAAAATTTATTAAGATTATATAATTACATTTGTAATTTCCCAAAAATCTGCATTCCATTCTTGAATTATTAAAAAGATTTTTAAAAAAGAACTATTAATATAAAATAAGATATTCAATTATGAACATTGTAAAACATTTATCATTTAAAAATAAACAAATAATTGGTAATATATTGGTCAATCTAATTATGCCATTCTCTCGTACAAACGAGTACACCAATAAAAAAAAACTTAATATAACAGTTCGTTAATAAAGGCTACGTAAGTGTTAAATAGGTAGTATAAAAAATCAAATATAAACACTCTAGACCCTGGCTGATTACAAGATTTCAAAAATATCCCCTCCACCAAAAACGGCTATTTCAGCAATTTTCTCAACAACGATCGAACTTGGTCGTCAAGCAGACTCCTCCAAAAATGGCCCTGTCGTAACTAAACCAGCTCACCTTGACAGAGGAAGCCCTGATGTAGGAGGCCCCTCAGGTACTTATGGCACTTGTCGCATTTCTCGAGGACGCTGAAGCTGTGGGGTACAAGGTTGTGTTTGTGTTGCTGCTGTTGTTGTTGTTGCTGCTGCTGGTGATTGGAGGCCGACGTCCAGATTCTTGCCAGACTCGGTTGCTCGGATTGAGAAGGCGTTTCCGAGCCCGGAAGTGTCGACGGCGAGGACGACGGCTGACACAGCTCCTCAATGCACACAAGTATATTCTTCTGATGGAACTCATCCTTTATGCCCATGTTCTGCAATTAAGATTGGTAAAGCGATTAAGACAGGGTCGCGTATATGTTCCGAGGCGATTAGTCATTAAGTAGATTTAAATTCATAAATCAAAGAATACGTCAAAATTTTTCTATGCGTATGGTATTCTGATAATTTTAAAATGATTCGATAATAATCATGGACTTAATTTCAAATGCAGTATTTTTCTACATGTATATCTTCGTTAATAGTCAATTAAATTATTACCGATGATTATATATATAGACAAACTGTCCTTTTAACAATTTATAATGTTTCATAGCTATTTTTTGTATATATACATTTAACAAAATTCAATTAATAATGTAATAATTATTTAAATATTATCAGTTTATAATGTTATCCATAAAACACAAATTTTCGATATTTATTTAATGAAAAGTAAAGAAAAATTGAAGAGTTGAAAATTTATAGTTTATTTCGTGAAAAGGTTTAATGTTAACATTAAAAATTCTATTTTGAACATGTCTTATCTTTCTTATTAAAGAATTTCAAAGTCGATTAAAATTTCATATTAACAAATAATGTTCATTAACACTCCAATTAAATTCAAAAGTTTTAACTTTTTAATTTAAATAATGTATTCATAATAATGAATTCTTATGTATTAGAATATCTAAAACAATTGTTATATTTTATTTTATTACATACGTGGATAAATAAAAAGTATCATCAATTGATTTATCATCGATGTTCAGCTATAAAAATAACTACCTCACAACGTACAACATGGCTTTCAACTCGATAATAAAACATCGTTCATACATAGCTACATTCTAAAGAAAAGCTTTCTCTAAATTAAATTATTGCATTTTCAATTAATCGCTCATCAATTATGATTTTGATTTTCTTCATTCATGCTATAATAATTAGATAATTAGCAGCATACCTCGAATTGGTTTGTAATTTTACTTTTATTCAATTAATTAAAATTATTGATTTCCTGTATTCGGGCATTCATTCATTCGTTATATTTAATTTAAATTAATACACAAAGATATATATATATATATATATATATATATATATATATATATATAAATATATTTGTGTACACATAGAAAGACAAATGCAAATTAATCGAATTTAAAATGCATCAAAAAATATTTTTGAAGAAATCTTTGATATAATTTTTGCATCATGTTAATAAAACCTGATTAAAAAGTCATTCTATTAATTTGTCTTTAGAATAAAACTTCATTTATCTAACATTTATAGTTGTCTCTTCATAAATGTAAAATGTTAATTTATAAATGTATTTTTTACGATATTTTAACTAATGTAAATATACATTCTCGTCCTATAAAAATAATAATTAATTATTAGTTTATTAGTAACTAATAATATTTGAATTGAATTTCAGTATCAGTAGCTAAATCAATGTGAACATAAAAAAAATAAGTGAATGATTAAAAAAAGAAAATTAATTAAAAAAATATGAATCTTTAATCGATAATTTGAGATGTAAAATAACAATTAAAAGTTATATTCAAGAACTAGAATATACGTTATTTATATTCTAGCAAAATGACCGCGTACTATTTTTCTTTTCATTTGTATATAATCTTGATTAACAGGTTGATTGATCAATGTTAAAATTGAAAAAAGATATCTATGTTGGATATAATAAATGTTGTTCACATGATAAATTTAATTATTTTTATTAGCATTGTCACATCATTTTTATATATTCTTTTAATAGCAACTAAACATTGATAAAATTATAATCCTATAAAAAGACTGAAAATATTTTTCATTCAGTAAAATCTTATAAAAAATTATACGATCTATAACACTATTTTAAATTGCAATAAATTTCCATACTAAAAGGAAGGATTAATAGAAAATTCTGGACAAAATGATTAAAATAAATCAATTATATTTTCTCTCTGCTAACTTGTTTAAATTTTTCAAACACGTTACCTTCCAATATTTTTATTGAAAATATATTTATCATAATCTGTGCATATTTCTGTGTATATTTATCTTAATTTATCTTAAAGAAATTTTTACTTTTTATACAAAAATGCAATAATAATATTAAAAATTCGTTAAAACAAAATACATTTATAGATGATTATGAGTTATAAATGTAAAATGTCATTTCATTTCTTTCGTAAAAAAATATAAACCACATATATTTTTTGTACGACCTAATTGTTTGAAAAATCAATTTCAAGTTTCATCTTTTTATCGATAATGGATAAATTAGTTTTATCAGGGGACAATATTTTATGAATGCTGAAATTGTTTATAAATATAAATATATATTGCTTTCGTTTTAATAAAATAGTACCATAGGCATTCAACAAAATTGTAAAATTTGAAGCTTAATTGAAAAAAATTGAAATAATAAACTATTAAACATATTTATTGAATAATGTCAAAAGATATAGTAAAATAAAACTACAATTATTATTTTTCAAAGTGCTAAGGAAAAGGAGTGGACATTTAAAAAATTTTGAAATAATCAAAATGAATATTATTCTTTGTAAAAACTTTGTTTTAAAAATAATAATACTATGAAAAAATGTAAAAAAAATGCAGATTACTTGTATTCAAAAGCAAGTAACTTCTTTCTTTTCAATTTTATGAACTTGGCCTTGTTTTAACAAAATATTAATTATAATGTCATTTATACCGTAAAATATCTTATACATATTGACATATAACATATACATACATCAAAATCGTATTCGAATGTTTAATGTAAATGATATTTAATAAAAAAAAATTGGAAATAAAAATGTAATGATTTTTATGTTTATATGAAACGCCCTTACAAATTATGTATTATAATCATAGCCATAATTTTCTTATATAAGATAATCTCGAATCACGCCCTTAACAGACAATACGTGATCGTAATTAAACTATTATTCTGAGAACTTACTTTATTATCTACGCAGGTAGAAGTGTAAACGTAATATAAAAGGTTAAAACCTTTCCACAAATGTTTTTCTTAATTTATAGAAAATCGTAATAAAAGGAAAAGGAAAGCAGAATTCATATTCCAGTCAATTTGCCATTTCACTTTGAGTATTTTGATAATTCATTCGAGTCAGCCATAACGACCCTAATCGCCGTCCAAGAAGAGATAACCTTGCGAACGTCTAACATATGTATTCTTATCAATTTCGTCATTGAGCTGAGTATCGCTGTTTATTCGTTTGCTTTCAGTTACGCTGACTTCTTACATTGAACGCCATAACTTCTCTTCTGAGTGCATTTTCTTATTTCACGATATAAAATACATTCGTGGTTATAATTGTATTGCAGTAAAACTACTTACAAATATATTAATAAATATGAAATGCAAGTATTTCTTTATATACATTTAATAAAGTTCATTTAATAATTATTACAATAGTACTAATACAATTAAGTCCAGATTACTTTTTATTTTATGTAGTATAATACTCAGTTATTATAAGAAAATCATTTAAAAATCGTTCGATACAATAGAAATCGAAGAATTTAATCATGATTTTATTAGTAAAGTCTCAAACACTTTTTAATTATAATAATTTGAATTTTATAAATATTTTGGAAATAAATGCACAAATTGCCTAACTTTACAATTTTTGAAAGTGACTACAGACGATTTAATAGCAGAATTCTTAAAATTTAGCTTAGTGTTTTTTCGGTATTTCTTGGAACTTTCATGATTTGTTGAATTATTGACCAAAATTAAATCGAGTATTTCAAAATCTGATTAATATAATTATTTTTAATAAATTATATGTTTTGCTCGAGATATTTTTAGAAAAAAGTTTTTTAAATATTTTGTCATATTATTATCATGTAATTTATATTAAGAGTGTAATATAATGAAACTAAGGGTTTCTATAATTTTAATGCTATTTTTAATTTTTATGCTACAATCATACCCGATTTTTAAGCGCGTGTTATATACGTTTTAACAGTCGAAAAAAGTAAATGTCTGCCAAAACACCTTTTGCGTTATATTTTCAATGCAAAATTCTAATTATATTACATCATCTTAAATAGTAAATATATTAGAAAATATATTTGAAAATAATTAAAGTGCGATAGTGAATTTTAAAAGGCCAATATATGTAGCGGACTTCGAATTTATTGCATAAAATTTTACTTAACATACGTAACAAAATTGTATGTAAGGATGAAAAATGATAAAATTTCAGATTTACTTATTTCTTATTATTTTCTGTTTAATTATTATTTGTAAAAAGATAAACTTAAGCTAAAACTATTATTTAACTTACTAAAATCAAATTAATAATTTTAAGAGAGTACTTATTATTAAATAAATAGATATGTCATTATAAAAAAGTACATCTATTATATTAATTTATCGCAGTCTTCTCTTAACATAACGAACCAAAAAGTAATTGTCATTCATTTCAAAATGAAAAATCAATATTAAATTACGTTCAGAGCGAACAAATCTGTGGATCTCCAAATAATCTAAAATTTTCTTGGAATCACGTTTAAATGCATGACGTTTAAACAAAACGAATACAAAAAAGCTGAACTTGCATTTGACTAATAATTAAAAACTAAAACACCTTGTGCCAAAACAGAAATGAGAACATCAAAAAATATCACGTACGTGTAGCTCTGCGCCATATCAACAAATAAAATTGACATAAAATTAAAAAACGCTAGTTCTACGACTCACCATCAACTTCTCACGATCCAGGTGAAGCAGATCGCTACCCTTGATATCCTTTGACTTAAAAACATCGGCATAGCGGTAAAGATTTAACGCTGCCATCCACTCAACGACGTTCAGCGATGTCCACTCACTGACAGGCTGAAACAGAGTTAAATATGTTTATTTTAATGAGAAATGCATTTTTTCTTTAACTTATTAACTTTAACACCAAATTTATATTGAAAATATAAATTACGTACTGTAAACAGTTGTTTTTCATCTATTATGTGTGCATATTCAATTAATTAAACACAGTTACTTATATTCTATAACAATTTTTGATTATTATTTTTTAATGTGTCGCTCATAGTATAATAAGAAAAAAATTTATAATATCGAAAATATTTCTCTTTGGCCTCGGTGTGAGCAGTTTTTTACTTAATTTTCTTAATTTCATCAATTCCAGGCGATGCACCTCAATTTCTTAACTTACGTCATATGCCCGGGATTACGCATCATTGTACCTTACGTAAACCGCTCGATCAATTTTAATTGCACAGTCTCGTAAAAGAATCAATTGACGAAAGCTAACCTTGAAGGAAAAAATCGAAACTGAAGAACCCACGCGTGGCAATAGAAATAGCGAATTGTATGCGATCAACGCTTTACCCTTTCCGCTCGTTAAATTTCTATTGCATTGGAAAAATTTTGATAGATAATATTTCTCGATGATACGAATATGAGAAATTTCCAAAACACGGAAAAACGAGGAGGAATGAGACATGCTATCCTTAAAAATTTGGCATGAATGAAACGTTTCAAATGTTACACCGGTACGTGTTTTTGCAAAGGAGCCATTCTTATTAAGCAGAACTGACGGATTCAAGGAAAAACTCAACTTGCACCTATTTCTTATATATTGGAGCAATATGAACTTTAGAGTCTAATCTATCGTATACGTACCCTAATGCAGTGCTTTCTATTACAAGACTGAGAGATGCTATATTTTTAATTATATTCAACTGTGCTAATTATTTATGTTAAAATATTACATTGCGAAGAAAATGACACACATTGAATATAACGTACAACAAACGATTCACTTTCAATTATGAATGGTTTTGTTTATATTCAATTGGTACAGTCAATTATTTATTAATAATGTATATTTCCCATACTCTGAATTATATTACGAGTTTTTATTTAGATTTAACGGAAAAAATCCCTTTTTAATTATTCGTTTTTAATTAATGAAATTAAATGCTTTTTGCAAATCAAATAGTTACGTCTAGAATAACATATATAATTTATAAAACTACTTTTAAGTTATATATTCTAAAAAGATTATATATTTTCATTAATCGATATTCAAATTATGGAAAATTCAATTTTTACCAGATTACCAGATTTTTTACCAAAAATAAAAAAGTAAAAGACTCGTGGTAAATTTATAAATTATATAAATAATAATTACTCTTAATAATTACTCTATTAATTAAAAAATAATAAATTCTTCAATTACAATTATATATATTGTTCTATGAATAATTCATAAAATAATATACAATATATATGATACCTTTATATTATAAAGAATACGTGATGATAACATGTTACAAACATTCAATTCTCGTTAAAATGAGTAATTACATTCTGACGAAACTTTGTGAGAGATTTGTGAGAAAAGTGAAAAATTCAAATAAAGGAGCTATCAATTAAGTCAAAATATAAAAATACCCACGTGATATTTGCAATACGTGATACGACTGCCCGTTACGGAACTACACGAAAGGCCACACCACAATACAGTTCCAACATACTATCTTATCTGCATTTTATAATGCATCTATCTATCTTATCGATAATATATATTAATAACCCCTATTATGTTTTCTTTGATTATTTTCTCATCGTTACCAATACAATTTTTTATATTGTTTTTAAAATTTTTATTTATGTATAACCTTCAAAGTCAATACTTGTATTTATATAGATATTAACTTATTATATCGATTATATAATTAATTACATTTATAAGTAAATAAAGTCTGAGTATAGTTTATTAGAGAGAACAATTCTTTTTTTTTTATTTCTATTCGTAATTTCAACAATTGGAAATGAAATTGAAATAGTTTTCATTAGTATATACGATAATTAAATATTAAGAATAAAGAGAGAATAAAAAAAATTAAAATTAATTTTATAAATTCATTCTAAGATAAATAATTGTTATTATCTAAGCTATTGTATACAATGAAGATGTATACAAAGCTATATGCATTATTTAAGGAGCGTTAACATTAAATGAAAGCATTTGTATTTATATCTGATTAAGACAAATTATCTTAGACAGATTTACAAGAAGTCCAATCTATGGAGCTCCCGATGTTTACATTTAGAATAAAATAAATAGAAATAGTATTACTATTGAAATAAGAATAATGAATAGTAGGCATTGTTGAAATTATTTATGTAATACACATAGGCGAGCATGCCATATGCAATTACCAAAAAGATCCCACGAAATGAATTCATAGAACAAGATAGTAGAACCAGATAATAAATATAATTTTGTATATCGATGTCATAAAGCAATTCTGTCTATTATAAATGATAACTTAAAATAATAATGTGCATGAATTCTTGTACAATAATTATCGCATAATCTACAGCATTTTCATTGTGTTCTTAAAACCGTAATATTCCTTATTTTAATTATACTACACGATACCTTATTGAAATTATAGTAATTGCTCTAATATACGAAAGAAAATATCTCTTAAACTTTTATCCGACACAAATATTCTTTTTAATTTTGTAAATTCTAAATTTTTTAATAATAAATTATAGGAGATTAAATGTCTAAATTATAAATGTTTTATTTGATACTATGAATCATACGATTGAAATGAAGTTTCGTTTGCATATAGATCGTTGAAGGAAACCGAACTTGAAATGAAATCGCTAATATTCGTCATCATTTCTTTAAAATTATATAAAATTTCTTCATCAAAGCAATAGCATTTTATATATAATATTTTCGTTATGCATAAATTTACAATCAATACAATAATTTAACTAAATATTGAGTTCAAAGGTCGAAAACATAAAAAAAGTCGTAACTTTACTCAACTTAATGAAATATAATTGATCATATAATATTTGGTTATAAGCTTCAAAGCTAGCAGCATTAAACTTTATTTATTTATTCTTCTTTTATTTATCCGTATCTACACAAAAAAATGTAAGTATTTACGTCGTTGTAGACCTAATTTTCGCATTCCTGTGTTATACATAAATCATGTGGCTGTTTCTTTATATCGTAATTCAAATTAAACGTAAATTAACATATTTCTCTTTAATATTTATAAATTAATTAGGAGTTACAACGCATCGGATGCTATTGAACTTTAGTAAAAGAAAAATAGCGTGCTGCAAATATAATACAACAATAATCAAAATATATGTTTGAATTTATGAAGACCAAAAAATGTACTTTCAATATTTTCGAAAAATTCATCTAACAAAATTACATTTCATTCTTTTTCATTTTATTTATAATTTTAAACTTACAAAAACTGACGCTCGATATCGATTGTATATAAAGATAAATTTCATATTTTTATATATTTCTAACATTTATACTTTTCATTTTAAATGGAAATATACACAGGAAACAAGTAATATATACTACCGAATACTGCAAATAAGCTTAAATAATTAATTAAGCCGATTTAAGATAAATATAAAAACTAATAAATAACGTATAATAGCGATATAGAATAGTAAATGCATGTGCTGATTTTGGCATCCAAATATTGAACGACAGTTTAATTTAACACAAGGGATTCAAGGGACGCAAGGGAATGCTTAACACTTAGGCATTGGATTTTTAATATTGAAAGCTTGACTTGAAAGCATTTAATTCATTGTTTTAATCCCATATTCATAATCTACAAAGGTCTAGAACTCGAAAGACAAGGTATCTACAATTTCCGTAGTTTAATTAAAATGACACTTGTGTATAAATGAACCATTACATATTATCAAACTATTTTAAACTACATCGATACACAGTAAAACAATTATATAATGCGATAGCATAATACTACGGATGTATCGTCCAACGCATTCGATGATGACGACCGTAACCTCAACTAGCTATAACGATTATTTCGAAGGCTGTAAATAATAATAATAATTATCCAGAGTGTTATTGCACAATAAATGTAGAACAACTTTATAGTAGTCGAATAATTCAGCTGTGCCACGGCAATGATTTTAAGCAGCGGCGCAAGAACTCCACCGAAATTGGCGGACGCCTTATTTTTGGCTATGCGCTACTGCCACGGACTATTAACGCTATTTTTGAACATCAGGATTACGCACAACTTGTAGTCACCAAAAGCTCGTAAGCAATCTCCAATCTGACCTCGGAATAATCTCGAAAATCTTCTCGTGGCTGTTGCGCAAAAACGGGTTCCATACCCCACCCGCTTACGATCGATCGAGATTGTATGAGTCGCAAGTTCGAATGCAAATTGAAGTCACCTAAAACCTGTTTAAAGATAAATTCATTCGAAAATCATTTTAAAATGCCGACTTTGTATGGGGCTGCGGTCGGGTCTCACCCCTATTGATGTCCCTTTTCGACGCACCTGCGGCGGGTTTATTTATTCTTTGTAATTTTTAACCGCAAATTAAAGTTGAAAAATATACTTCTTCTCCATCATAAATTGAGATGTTCTTTTGTGCATGTCTATCATACCTTGCAGCTGTTTTATACGGCATTAAGAACAAGACAGCTATACGCTAAGGTTACGGCTTTTAAATTATGTGTATATTTATCTATTACGCAATGTCACGCTAACTTGACAAGAGCAAAAAGATTTTTTTTTTTATTACTCTGCTATTCACATCGTGATACTTCTAAAGCGCGCCACCGTCACAAATGCGATTTTAATTCTCGAATAATTTAACTGTTCGAAGGTTGGAATGAAAAAAAGAAATCTTTTAATTTTCCATTTAATGAAGCACTCCGTTTTGCATTTATATTACGTAAGTTCATGCAGAATTACATCGGGACAGACAATCCATGAAAACGATAAGTAAACTATTAGATTTTCATTAAAATTTTATTAAACACGTACCAAAATTTT